AGAAGACGGTCGATATGTCGAACACCTGTAGCAAAATCTCATGTCTTGGTTTGCTATTTATTTTTATTGTTATTAGATATAGTTTAAACGTGTTGATGTTGGTTAAATATATTTTAAATTGTTATAAAACTCTGTATCTCTCATAGCAAATATTATTTTCCTTTTAATTGATGCTCACAGCTAGAATTTTTTTGCATTACAGTGTCCCATATAAAAAATCAAATTTTCTGTTGATAATTCTTAAATTATTAATTTTAAAAAAATTATACTTAAACCATTAAATTCTACGTAAAAAGGTGCTTTGGAAATGTTTTCATAAAAATACAAAATTTGCCATAGCAAAAAAGTTACAGCGATTTGTTTAAAATGCATATTTCTGAAAAACACCCCGTAACTCCGAAACGGTAACAGATATCGATATGCGGTTTTCACCATCATATTTTTGACAAAAATTTAGCTCCAGACACCGATATTAGTTTTTGTCTATCCCTTATAGAAAAGGGTGTTTCCATTTAAAAGCGTCGAATTTGACCCACCCTGTACAGTTGCACTCATAAAAATCTGGCACGACAACTTTATCTTGTAATTCCTGGACTAGTGGTCTATCATAACACAAACTTTCAAAATGAGACAGGGTAGAGACAGATTTTAGATTGTCATGTATATTGTATACAGGGTGGCGCACCTCATTCGTTTCCGTTGATTATACGAAAACGGAAAAATGTAGAAACAAAATATTTTGTATGATTTATGTGGGGAGACAATGTGCACAATTTAAAATTATTTTGAAATATACAGGGTGTTTCAGAACTAAGATCCATACCAAAGTTATATTTTTTCTTATGGAACACCCGGTATTTTATTTCATTTTTCGATTCTTGTGCCCAAAAAAGGCATTTATTATAAGGGTTAAATATGTTTAAAATCTTTAGTTTTTGAGATATGTAAAGATATTTAAATTTGCATGCTATAATAGAATAGATTATTAACACCCTGTACATTACTTTTCAGAATTAATTCTTATGCTGAATTTAAAGGTAGAGAAATAAACTTTACTAAAAAATGGTATTGGTTCCTTAAATGTATACAGGGCTATCAAAAGTTGCTGATCTATTTTAAGGATATATTTTATATAAAAACTTTGTTATTTCAACTGTAACACCCTGTATTTTTTTAAATAAATCGAAGCAGATTCAAATGCTCTTTCAAACTATATTAGGGTTTCCTATACCTATCTAGCTCAGATTTTGAATAAAAAGCGATTTTTAAATAAAATTATAATTAAGATGGCTGGTGTCGCCATGGCAATTTTCTAGTGACAGTTAGTAACTATTTTCAAAGTCAACATTAGTTTATAGAGATAGATATAGATATTTCTTTAAATTTCGTTAACAAGAATGATAGGGGTAGTTTATTTCAACCCCTTCCACTCATTTTAAAAAAGTAAAAAAATTATCTGAAAGTGTGTTTTCACAACAGTAATGCTTTCATAAAATTTCATTAGTCTATCTCTTTTCGTTTTCAAGATAAAAAATAAAAACATTATTTTTCCGCCATTTTTGTACCGCGATATCTCCCTAATGGTTGACTTTTGACCCAACGTTTATAAAGCAAACTACCCTTTATTTTGAACAAGGAATCACCCCCTAAAGTTTTTCGCATTTGTTTTGAAACACCTATTTCTGTGTGTATATTATTTGTCACCCATCAATCAAAAACACATCTAATAAGTCTAGAGATGAGTATTTTTAGCTTTTGTACACTGACAAGCATTAACGACTCAGACAATTTGTGATGTAAACGTACCAAAAATTTTGTTAGTTTTAGCTGCATTTAAAATATGGTTATATGGTATGTTAAAATTGTGTACTTACCGTATGTACTTACTCGTATGAAGAACGTTTAGTTACTGTATGTATTTATTATTTAGTTTGAAAAGTTTTACAATTAAAAATCAAATAGATAAGTAATTTAATCTCTACTTGTTTATCAATGTATAGAGAAAATATCGCGACAAGCTTATACAATATTGTGTAATGACGTTATAAGTTCATAATAAAAGTTTTAAAGAAAAAGTTTATTTTTTTTCTTTTTAGTGTATTTAACTAAAAGCTTGTTTTTAAAAAAGTTTTTTCTTAAAATTTATTTTCTACTTTTTAGTTATGCTGGTTTCTCATTGTTCATTTCATTTAACGCATCATCTCCAAAAACCTCTGAACACTAAAATTTTAATAGTAACAGCTGTCAACTTTGACAGCTCTCGAACTCACAAACGCCATACACTTAAACTCAATTTTTTCTTAAATTACTTCCTATGGGCATCCTAATAAATAAAATAAAGGAGAACTTAAAAAACGACAGTTGTCAAATTTGACAGGACAAATGTGAGACAAATAAATGAAAACCGACTATGGGGTAGGGGGCATCCAATATATCGATTTTTATCAAAATCGGTTGATTTTGGTATCTTTTGGATTGGTCATTAAACCGTAATTTTTCAAGATGGCCGCCCATATTTTTTTTTTTCATATGTATATATCCACAATATACCTGTATTATATATAATTTCAGCCGGATCCATTCATAAATAGAATTTTAAAAATTAAAAACTCGTGGGCCGCCATTTTGACAGCTGTCAAAAATTCGGACCATGCCTTGCAAAAATGTATTGTCATCGACTGAACCTACATGCCAAATTTCACCTCCTACAATGAAAGGAAGTGGTTCTAATTTTAGCTTACAAGATTTGCCCCGAACAAACATACATACATTAGATATAATAATTACATACAGCAAGAGGCACCAAGCCTCTATTATAGTCTTGTTTTGGAAGTTTTGCGTTATACAAGCAAAATACCCAACTGATTACTCGATATGAAAAGGAGAAAATACCAAGAAAATAACAGGAACAAGGAATGAATTATAGGTACCCCATCCATGAAAAACGAAAATTGATTTGTGTTACTAAAAGTGTCAATTATAGAGGACCAGGAGGAGGGGAGTTTAAAATGATAGGCATATCCATTGACCAGATTCACGCACCAAAAGCGCTACTACAATTACTGAAAAAATGTAAACAGATTTTATTAAGATATACGCAATCATTGACATCAAAATCAAATTTCTTATATCAAAAACTCCCAAACACCAATTTTCATTCAAATATCGACGTTAGATCAGAAATTATTTGGAAAAAATTGAAATAAAAAGAATCTTCTTACACCTATCCCTCCGAATCTAAGTATATTAGGATTTACCAACTTTTTTACTTATTTCTTGTATTATTTCTACTAGTAACTGAGTTAAAGTAATTAAATAAACAATCATTGCTTGATTACTGAATGTTTAATAATCATCATAAGATTAGTACATAGTAGTTACCCAGAATTACACACACTACTGTCAACTGTCTAACGTTCCTTGTCATCTAGCGACTACGACATTTATTGTTATTTTGATCGCTTTCTGTAAATCTGTCAAAAAGTTATCAAAACTATGCCTTTGCCTTTGTATAATTGAATTGAATTTAAACCTTTCAAAGATTACATTTTTCTTTGGACAGCAGTATTCATCAAATTTCTCGTTCACTGTTTTCAAATTTGCCGCTTCGTCGTCTGTCAAACTAAACGAATTGAACAGCTCCAGGCCTTCTTCGCCAATCAGGTTCAAGAACGCCGCCATTTGCTTTTCTGCTCTTTTTCTTTAAGTCCTTTTACCTCCAAAAAAATATCAAACTTGTTTGAATTTTCTCCAGTCCTCGGCAATATTTCCTTCCAGGGAAGCGGTTCCGGTGAACGGAAAAACGATTCCATTTTTTCAAAAGACTAGTTAGCCTTACAATAATTCCAGATCGTCCAGATCACAAGTCCAAATCACGTTGTTGTAACGCAACTTCAAATTCAGCGTGTTACTGCTTATTTATTCACGTCGTTTTATTCCATCCATTCACACTGACACAATGTATTATTTCTACTAGTAACTGAGTTAAAGTAATTAAATAAACAATCATTGCTTGATTACTGAATGTTTAATAATCATCATAAGATTAGTACATAGTAGTTACCCAGAATTACACACACTACTCTCAACTGTCTAACGTTCCTTGTCATCTACTGTTTGACCAGCGGATCTGAAGCTACTGAAGGAGTGCGAGAAAAAAAAATCGATATTGCCACGTTTATCTATAAAATTGCAAAATTGCCAGACATGAACTATAAATTTAATATATTTTTATTATATATAATGTGTTTAGCATATATTCTGATGTATATTACTAAGGAATTTTAACGTAGTTCATATTGTTCGATATGTTTTATTTAATAACTTATTTCTTTCATTCTGTATAATCTGCTTATTATGAAAGTTGAAGATTTTTCAACGATATCATTGGCAAACCGGCATCGCCGCGCATGGTCGCCTATTCATCGAACATGATTGGCGAGAGTACGTCACAGGATTTGTTACCACGCGGTTGCCATGGCTTTTACGCCTTTCCTATTCGCTTGCTTTATCCCCAACTTCACGGTCTCTTCTGAAAAGAGTAGGAATATTGAATACTATTGAAATATCCAGTGGCGGTGTCATTTTTTTGATCATTATTACTTTATTTCATTATTTTATACCGGTTATCCTAAACTTTATTCCTATATTTTTAGTATATTTGATAGTTAAGTTGTGTTTTATTGTTTTGTTATCTTGTTATAATGTTTTTCGTTCGTAGTTTTTAATTATTAATATCAAGTTTGATCGTATATTTGTGTTTTAAAACGAATAAATTTGTTAAGGGTAAGACGCTACATAGTCAGACAAGAGAAATAATAGCTAATTTATATAGGTAAGTTAATAATAACGTGGATGAAATCTCATTTGGTGTATTTCCTTGTGTTCATAATAGGGTTTGCGATGAAGAAGCTACAGAGAGTTCGCTTGAGTTGCCGCTTAAACGTAAACTTGAGCGGATATTTCTTTATACCGGAGTTAGCGTATCGGCTATAAAAAAATTCACACAGAAGATAAAAAAAAGGCTGAAAACTAACCCCGATAAAATGATATCCTCTCTGGAAAGAAACGACCACGTGAGACTGCTGTCGAAAAGCTCAACGACTTTTTCGAAGTGGTCAGGAATTTGATAAATAGATTTTATCTCGAATTCAAACTCGTCCCCACAATTAGAAAGCTTTTGCAAAAATTGCAGGAAGAATCGAATTTTCCTTTTGCAGGGAAACGCTTAGGGGGTTATTAAAATCAAATGAATTTTTTTGGCGTAAATGTTAAAATAACAGATAAATATTAATGGAGCGGCCCATTATATTGCAGAGAGAGATATAAATATATATACGCGAAATTCGAAAATATAGCCAAGTATTATCTATTTGGATGTAACATATGGGTAGACAATGACCTAACCTTTAAAAACTGCTGGCGGAGCGATACCATATCTGGTGTAATGGGCAATATCAGATCTACTGATGAGTAAAATTATGTTTTGTTTGCGCTTCCAAAGTTAACTATTTTCAAGATTTTTTTTTGCTGGAAATAGTTATATCTAAAATTATGTATTATAGAAAAAAATATAGTTAGTATAGATATATAAATAAATATACCTCAAGACTCAGTCTTGATCATCTGCGTCGAGTGTAAAATTAAAAGTGTTTTGGTGTATTGTACTGATTTAGTGTTCTATTTTGCTGTGTAACACCAAAGGTTCCAACCCCCAGCTGTAATTATTTCTTCTATTATATTAACATCACAATAATAAAATGATTCAAAATATTTAAGGGAGCTTTAATAAAAGCTTTTAGTGTTTATCTGCTAACTCAACAGTAACGATTCAAACAGTATAAAGTTTTTGAAAAAAATTATTAATCTGAGTATTATATTTATGATACACATTATTTTCATATAACACCGTACGCCCATGCCTATTTTATGAATGAAATTGGGCGTGTTTTGTTTACAACTGCGTTCCCCTGCCGATACCCCGTAGCTACAGATCCGTTGGTCACACTATAGCGACTACGACATTTATTATAATCCTGGTACATTCGCCAACTTATCAACTTATATTACCATTCTATCTCCAGAATATGCTACCCAAGTTTTCGGAATACAGTTCAGACCACCCTGTATATTTCTCTAAAACTAACATGTAAGATGAAAATTATTTGAAGGGATTAATAAAACAAGTTTGTATAAGAAATATTTTCTTGGTTCTCTTATAAATGGAACCAACCTTTATAATTCTCTTTATAAATTCTAAATTATAAATCATGTTAATAACTTCCCATAAGACGTATTAGAATAAATATTACATAAGGTATCACAGCATCAAGTTAAATAACATCAACTAAATACAGTTGGTACCATGCTAGGTCACTAAAGGAACTCTTTAAATAATGAGCACCATCATGTTTTATCACATATTCTACCCAATATACAGCTTCATCTAGGGGTTCCAATACTCGATCACGCATTACATTAGACCTCGTTTTCGCATTTTCCCTGTATCTGAAAATATTGATATTAAAATAGCATATACTTTTAAAAATGTTAGCATACTAACTTCTTATTGTGTAGAACTTCCTGAATAGCTTCCTGTAGAACTTTTCCACTCAGTTGTTGAAAGGGAAGCTCCACAGCCATTTCCATTCGTACTAATCTAAGAACATTAGCAAATTGATCAGCAAAAACAGGTATACCTATTACCGGAACACCATGATATACAGCCTCTGTAGTACCGCCCATACCACAGTGAGAAATAAAAGCTATTATATTTGGATGTGCTGGAAATTGGAACATTAATTAACTCTAAATACACACATGGCCAAAATTATTGCATATAACGATATTTTTATTTTATTTTGAACCTAATATGATTCTTTTTATATTTTTGGACATATTGGCTTACTACACGACTAACTAATATAAAATTATAAATCTAAGTGCAACTAGGCTGTTATTCTAATTTTATTTCATAATGAGTGAAAATCAACAAAAACAAGTTTCATTTTAAACAGAAAATACTGAAAACAATTTTAATTATTTCTCGCAACTAATAGTCTGTACTGCTCGAGCCTCAATGCAAGCTGTGAGACGACGTTGCATGCTCTCAATAAAGTTGTCCAGAAGATGTTGAGGAATGGATTCCCATGTTTTGCGCGCAGCAACTTTCAATTCATTTAAGGTACTGTGGGGGGATCATTCCTTTTGGCAATATGGCGTTTTAGTTTCCTTTTTTATGTTTTTTTATGTTCCAGGCATGCTCGATCACATTCATATCTGAGAAACATCGGTGGCCACCACACTTTTCTTATACCCTCTTCCTCACAAAATTCGCGAACCGCTAAAGTGCGATGGGAAGGAGCATTATCGTCCATGTAAGCAAATTTATCCCCCATTGCCCCTCGAGATAGACGCACAATAGGCTCTAAAACGTCTCTAAGATATGAGGCACCTGTCATTGTGCCATCAATAAAAACAAGAGGAGTTCGAGCTCCGTGCATTGTACCTGCCCATACCATAATGCTTCCCCCTTGAATCGGGACACGGGGTTGAGCTGCATTCAAGCGTGCTCATCTTCCAGATGCTCTCCAGACCAAAATTCGTCGCGAGTCTGACATGACGAAATTCCAATTAGGTCCATTTGCTCTCATCTCCTCAGCCCATTGTAGTCGCGTAATTTTGTGCTGTAAATTAAGCTTCGGAACACGTAGATGCCTCCTTAAATGTAATCCTCTCTCATGGAGTCTTCTTGCTATGGTCTTTCTTGAAATATTTACTCCTTCAAGGCGAACTAACTCATTTTTAATAGCAGTACTAGAAAGCAGGGGATTGCGTCGTGCAATTATGGATATTTGACGGCCTTACACAGCAGTAATAACTCTCTTTCTACCTTTTCCAGGCCGGTCTGTAACCTCGTTTGTCTTTCTGAATTTTTTTAATATTAACGAAACATCACTTTGGTTAACTCCTACAATTTCAGCTATTGCAATTCGCCGAGTCTTGTTTAGATAGTGTTACCACGGCATCATTGTTTAAAAATATTACCTTGAAACACCATTATGGGTGCCGAGTCAGGGCCGGATTAAAAATGTATCAACAAATTTCCCAGAAAATAAACTATTGATAGACTGGGCCGTATTAAAAAGTACTGTAATTGACTGAAACTGAATTTTATTTACACCAATACTTTTATTCAAATGAATCGTTAACCGCGCATACCTCGAAAAGTAAAATAAAAAATCAATTAACGTTTAACTGTAGAGTAGCCAGACAATTAAAATTAAAAAACATGTCACACCACTTGGATAAATTCGGATAACGGGTCCTTGAAAGAAAAAAAAAAAAAAAATTGCTTGATAGCATTATGCTCCTTCTAGTCTTATTCAAAGGTATATACATATAAAAATCTATATATAGGATGGCCATGGGTTAAAATGAAAGAAAAAAAATTGAGCTGTCAAATTTGACAGCTGTCAAAAAAATTTCAAAAGTTGTCCGATTTTGATAAAAATCTATATATAGGATGGCCATGGCTTAAAATGAAAGAAAAAAAATTGAGCTGTCAAATTTGACAGCTGTCTAAAAAATCTCAAAGTTGTCCGATTTTGATAAAAATCGATATATTGGATGCTCCCTACCCCATAGTCGGTTTTCATTTTATTTGTCTCACATTTGAACTGTCAAATTTGACAGCTGTCGTTTTTTTTTAAGTTCTCCTTTTTTAATGAAAATCGATATATGTACATATTATTAGGATGCCCATAGGAAGTTATTTAAGAAAAAGAATTGAGTTTAAGTGTGTGGCACTGAGAAACCAGCATAACTAAAAAGTAAAAAAAAAATTTAAGAAAAAAAACTTTTTAAAAACAAGCTTTTATGTAAATACATTAAAAAGAAAAAAATAAACTTTTTCTTTAAAACTTTTATTATGAACTTATAACGTCATTACACAATTTTATATTATATAAAAGCTTGTCGCGAGATTTGAGTGTACAGTTTCACTGTACACTCAAACTGATAAAAATCTAGTACGACAACTTTATCTTGTAATTCCTGTAATTCTTGTAATTACAATATCTTGTAAACCTATCATTATTCCCATCCAGGATAAATTCATCCAGTTTAGAAGAACATTTAAAAAACTTCGTGTCCGAATATTACACACTGGTACTGAAAATCGCCAAAATGATCTGGCAAACATCTTATTAAAAACGGCAGATCTTATTATAAAAAACAACGAGACCTCTGTTCTTTTCTCTCAGAATTGTCATGGGCTATCAATAAAAATTAAAAATAGATACGGATAATCAGAAAAACAGTAATTTAAAAATGAATCTTGTTTGTCATTTTGTAGGATACCTAATAATAAAAATTACTTTGAATGCCGTAGGCAATGATTGAGTATTAAAACTAAAAGAATTTCAGACTTCCATTGTACTACTAAACTACAAAAACCAAATATATCTCACAATAAACAAAAATAAAGAAACAAAATATATCACTCAAGAAAAGAATGAAATAAATTAAGCCGCACGCTACTGACTCAAAGCTGCCGTAACTGTATGTTGTGGATGACAAAGACTACGACACTGGTTAATTTCTGTTGCTGGCACCCATAATGGCGGCGTGCGCAAGGATATGCGCGTAGCGTTCCCGCCAAAGCAGTCGGCCTGCCGTGTGATTTCTACGAGTATGCCGGTGTTACTTATTCTGACTGTATTAAACTGTGAAATAATGTTTCTAGGCATTTTAAGCCCAAACAATGGTCATATTTCTTCTGAAATCCAAGAGATCACAAATCGAAATCTGCAAGAATTTGTAATAATATTGGGTCTGAACGATAAACATTGTTTACCATATCCATTTTAACAAAAAAAGGTTTATTACAGATTATCAAAGCTATATAAAAATTGGGCTGCGCGAGTCGGACTCGCGCACGAAGGGTTCCGTACCATTCATTATCTATACAACATTAGACACTATATTATTATAAACTTTTTTGCCGATTTTTATTTTTTTTATGTTTTTTTTGCAAGAAACACATTACTAAAAATTGTATTAATCAATAATAAATATGTAAAAAGTAAAAATAAATATGTAAAAATTAAAAAAAAACGATTAAAAAAAGTCGCCTTGACTACGATTCGAACCTGCCTTACTACGGCTCCAACGTCATAGCAGCGTAAAGTCCTAAGGCTTACCACGCGGCCACCGAGGACTTGTAAGATTCTATGTAAAATTCTTATTTGAAAGATAATGTTTAGTGAAAGTACTTTTTTATTTATAAACATTTATTTAATTCTGTTTTTAGTACTTGTTCTTATAGCGGCAACATAGACACATTATCTGTTGTACCTCAACTGTCTAGCTATAACGGTTCACATAAGATAGACCTTTGTGACCGACGGATCGGACGGACGGACACTATATTATTATGGAACCCCTTAAAAGATTCTCTTTAAATTCCTTTCCCTATATTTTTAAACGATATATGCAATAATTTTGGCCATGTGCGTATAATAACAGATGTAGCAGGTTACAAACAAATGCGAGACTTTTTGTTCAATAAAGGGTAGTTTGTTTATTCATTGGGTGGTATAAGATGGCGGGAGGTCATTTTATTTTTATCTTAAACGAAAAAGAGCAGACTTATGGAAGACACAGCAAAACACACTTTCAGGTAATTTTGTTACTTTTTTAAAATCAGTCGAAGGGGTTGAAATAAACTACCCCTATCATTCTTGTTAACGAAATTTAAAGAAAAATCTTATCAAACACATGCAAATCTTTAATTTGGATAGTTTAGTTTGTTTAGAAACTTTTTTACCTCTTGTGTTTTTTTGATAAAACTCACCGATTGGAAATTAAAAAATAAAATCTAAAGCATTACATGTCAGGACAAAAACATTTTTAGATTAAGAATCTAGTGATAATAACGATAATAATAATCATCTAGATAATAACGTATTGCAGTAGAGTAATGTCAAATAAAATAATATTAGGAACATCATAAAAAGTACCAGCGACCGATTAGATTTTTTCCTAAAAAAATTACAGCAGCCCACTAGATTCTTTATCAGAAAATGTTTTTTGTCCTGACATGTAATGCTTTACATTTTATTTTTTAATTTCAAATCGGTGAGTTTTATCAAAAAAATACAAGAGATAAAAAAGTTTCTAAACAAACTAAACTATCCAAATTATTTTTTTGCATGTGTTTAATAAGATTTTTCTTTAAATTTCGTTAACAAGAATGATAGGGGTAGTTTATTTCAACCCCTTCCACTCATTTTAAAAAAGTGAAAAAATTACCAGAAAGTGTGTTTTCATAACAGTAATGCTTCCATAAAATTTTATTAGTCTATCTCTTTTCGTTTTTAAGATAAAAAATAAAAACATTGTTTTTCCGCCATCTTTGTACCGCGATATCTCCCTAATGGTTGACTTTTGACCCAACGTTTATGAAGCAAACTACCCTTTTTTTGAACAAGGAATCACCCCCCTGAAGTTTTTCGCATTTGTTTTGAAAAACACTCTGTATATAATACTGAGTATAATACCTAAAATATCATTTTGAGGTACCTCATTTTGGATATCAGTAGACATTAGGTTTATTTTCCAGTTCAGATCTTCAAATTTCCATATTACTTATACTGCAAATTTGCTATCATATTAACAATTTCTCTGATAGTTTCCTAGACAAATCAATGCTTCTTAAGTTTGAACCCATGCTAAATAAATTGCACCCTCATTTGCTGAATCCAGAAAGCGACTTAAAATTATCGCAATCCTTTTTGATTTTATATGTAACCCACCAACTTCAATCACAGATAAAGAAGGAGCAGGAGCCGCCTACATGTGAACAGCTTAACATTAAACTAGCATTGTACATAATATCTTCTAATTTATACTTTACAGGAAAATGTTTATTTATCAATGCTTGCTGAGCTGGATAATGGTAGAAAATTTTAAGATATTTATACCACATAGCCATAGTATTTATGAACTTTCCATAAAATTCATGGATGGTACACTTCTGAGAAAAGGTGTTGTAACACGAGGAAGATTGTTCCCGACTAATTAATTCCATTGAGAAAGGAGCTGGGAGCTAAATACTACTAAATGTGCCTTAAAATGTTTTGGCAGCAAGATGCCCTCTTCGTTATTAAATGTTTCAACAATCACCAAATCAAAGATTCATTTGAATTCAGTAAAGATTGTACTTTTGTGTCTTTCAAGATGTTTTCTGTACAAAGTTTAAAAAGTTAGTTCATTAAATACTTCAAGATTTCTGAATATATTCAAGTCCTGTAGTTTATTAAGCCATCTAAAACAAAAGTTTTAGTTATTAGTGTTTTATTGTTTTCTAGTAATACACAGATTATAAATCTGCCCAACAAGTCAGGTAATATTTCAACAAACGATATTCAAAAATTACAAAAATTCACTTTTACCTTATGAATTAAAATTACAGACAAGAAATGTCATCACTGTTATACTATCCGTTGGACAGATTAAAAAATATTATATTTATAGGTTAACCTTAAATAAGTGCAAATATCGGGCTGGTAGATCTTAATAAAAGGAACTACTTCTTTTTCCGGACAACGGATGGCATGAAAATCAAGCTTTAAACCGGTAATTTAGCGACCGAATGCATCCTTTGTTTTATTTAAGCTCCGTCTTACTCATGGCTGGGAAACTTAAAGTGGAAATTACAGTTCATTAAAATAGTTTTTCCTCTCCAAGATACAGAGGCGCAAAATATTAAAACTGTCAATATCAACAATGCAAATGTCTATCTGACAATAAAATTTGATTTTAACTGACACTCAGACGCCTTTAAGCCGTATTTTATGGTTTGATTTCGTTTGATTTATGGAATTATTGTAAAATTAAATTCCTTCAGATTTTTTGCCAGTATTCTGTTTTAGACAATGTTTTTTAAAAATGGTGGGACAATTTGTGTTTTGTAATAACTTTTAATTATTTTTTATCATGGAGTTTAATTGTTGTACTCCTGGTTTCCGAAGGATACAATGGTAAGTAAATTAAACATATCTACTTACAGTTATAGATTTTTTAAATTAGTACTGCTAATAAATGCTACTTGCAGAGCAGTTATTTAAATTTTTTTACGGTGCATGTAAGGAATTAAGGACGCGCGTTTTATATTAGCATGATCAGCAGATGATTACATCTGATTTAATTTGTTTTTATTATTTCAGGTCCCAAACGGAAACAAACTGGGAATCTTGCCTACACCAAAATTATATACCTAGCCGTTTCCAATTCACTTCAAAGGGAGGAAAATTATGTAAAACTGCCTGCTATTTGCTGAAAACCGCCAAAGATTAAATTATAACTGTAACAACTTAATATATGCTATTTCTAGTATTTTTAATATATTTTTTAATTAATATCCGACATATAAGAACACTTTGTATGCTTTTAATTCAGTTGATTTATCGTTTATAATATGATCGACCTAATTAAAAGCACACAAAGTGTTCTTACATGTATGTCTAAATTTATTTTAAATTAACTAAACAACCCCCCTTCCTTGGAGTGGAGGAACGGACTGACCTTTCCAGTGTGGAGGTGTTTTATCTTTTGGATTACCTAATAATTGTTGTAATTTATTATTAGCACTATACACAAGTTTATAATTGACATTCTTAAAAATTCCTTTTAGACCACGGGTTTCAAAAAAACGGTATCGAAAAATATTTAGACGTATCTTTCTCCACTTGAAAAGCCGAATTTTCAGAAATCATTATCCTATACCTACGTTTTCCAATTAATTTATCAACTAGTGAAGGAGAATATCCATTACACTCAGCTACATTCCTAATGTAATCTCTTTCTATTTCATATCTTTCGTTGGAAAGTGGAAAACTAAGTAATCTATGAACTAAAAAATTTAAACTAGCCATTTTATGTTCAACACTATGATGTGATTCATTAGGAATATATCTGCGTGTTGTCGTATTTTTCCTATAGATATTAAATTCCAGGCAATTATTTGTATTTCTAATAACTAATACATCTAGAAATGGTAATCTGTAAGTAAGATATGGTAGACCGGATAAATCTTGCGTTGCCGAACATATTGATGATTAACATTGTATAGATCTTAATAATTTAAAATTAATTAAACAAGTCTCAAATTACAGGCAATTAGATGCATATGAGAGCATCAGAATTAATAAATGTAAAGATAGTATGAACAGAGACATCCAATTATTTCAAGTTCTTTGTTCCTACTACTCTAGTGGCGGAAATCTAACTGTTACGCCTGAAGTTGGCCTTGACCCGCTGGCTAGCCACGCCCACTCGGTGCCCACTGAGCGAGTATATAAACGCTCACCAGCTTTAGTTTATAATCATCTGCTGATGATGCTAACATGGTTAGCGAAACGCGTCCAGTGTAAAAGTAAAGTGTTTTAAGTATTGTGGTGATTTAGTAAGTTTTTATTTTGCTGTGTAACACCAAAGGTTCCAACCCTAACTGTAATCAGTTGCCTATCTATTTAATATTATATATATAATAAGTCTTTTATCTATGGTCTTACTAATAAATCTGCACAATCTGTGGTATTATTTAAGGCGTGTGGAACATCTGCTGTGAGCGGGTAAAAGAAAAGCGATTGTAATTACAAACTAAACAGAAATTGCTGGAAGCCAAAAGGATTTGATAGAATTCTAGAACAGAACTTGCCAGAAGATCAGCAGCGATATATAAGGCGCTGCTGCGCTCAACAGTTTAGTTTAGTTTTATATTGTGAACAGTAACAATTTAGCGTTATTTTTAAATAGTTAATTGTGTGTCGTAATCAGTATAAATTTTGTGTATATAGTGAGAAAATAAACTGTTAAGAACTTTATCGAGTTTAAATTAGTGGACCCATGAACTGTAACAGTATCATGTTTTTTATCCAACACAAAATGGGGTATGAAAGCAACGGTTTTAGTGCAGAAAAATCAGAAGCCATATTTGAACTTCTAGTTAAATATTTTTTAGGGTATTAGGTATAGTTAGACTAATAAAAACGTGAGGCCCCTCTGAAATCCTACCTATGGCAAAGCATATCTTTGCTACTTTGGTAGATCATGAGCTCGGCGTTCGCTGGTGAAGCCGCCACGGCTGGTTATTGATTGTCAAAATCTCCAGTTACGATTATAGTGTGATGCAATCCACACTTAGTATAGAAGAAAGTATTACAGCAATAGTTAATGGGCCCCACGTTTTTATTTTAGTTTAATATGCCTAAAAGCTATTCTGCCTAGTACTAAAATATTTCTGAACTAGAAGTTCAAAATACCTAATTGTTATTATTATTTTCTAGTTTTCAGTGCACATAAGATAAAACCGTTTAACTTAAAAGTTTTTTTACCGATTTTTTATTTTCTAGTTTTTAGTATTTAACGGAAATGCCTACCGAATATTCCTCATTCTATTTAATTCATTTAGTGCATCATTATTGCATGGTTTTTTACCTGATAATTTATTACAATCTAATTCCTCAATACATAGCCCTTCCAGAGACTTGACTCGACTTAGAGCCACGTATGCTTGCCCTTCCTCAAACAATTTTTAGCCCAAATACACTACTGCATGGTCGACTGTGCTGTCATGCATTTTATGGACGGTGGATGCCCATGACAAAATTAAGGGTAACATCCTTCTTTCAGCCGTACCATAATTGAATTTTGCTGGAAACTGTATGGCTTTCGGGTGTATAACGTGTATGCCGTCTCTGCCAAAGTGAATCCAAACTGATGGTACATCTGTTTCGTACATTTGGGTTCGACGGAACTGAGGCCAAACCAATATAGCACCATTTACCAATCCTTTTGTAACGTCAATGTTGGACCGCAACATTTTCACAAATTCATCACCTATTTTTTTTTATCTGTCCTTCTAACGTCACACAATCTTGGACACAACTGTTCTGGACACGACTACTCATGCCTTCACCTAATACGCCATTTTGTAACGACGTCCATCTTGGATTTTAAATTTTGTACAAGTATTCTACTAGTGTAGCCCTTTCATTTGGATAAATCTATATTGAGGGGTTGTGGTATCATGAAATCCGCCATTTTGTACCGGCGGCCATCTTAGATTTACAATGTTATTGATATTACTATATTGTATTGTCATCGGAACTAAAGGTGTGTACCAAATTTCAGATCAATCTGACAACAGAAAGGTACTTAAATTTCAATTTCTAATTTTGACCCAAATAAACAAACAAATAAATAAATACCGTACGGGTCGAGCTAAATAAAACCGTTTAATTAAAAAAATTCCGAATTTCCTAATTTGTTTTAAAACAAATTTTAAATTTTCCAAATTTTTCTTTCGCGAAAAAAAAATTCTTAAATAAATATAAATATTTTTAGGAGTAGTATATTTCGACTCCAGAAACGCGCTTGTTGAGATTTTTTTGTTAATGTTTTGGAAAATTTTGGATGTAAAAAACATAATATCTTGATAATATGACAACTTAGGTAGTAGATTAAATTTACAAGAAAGAAAACAATATTTTGCCATAGTGAGTTACAT